CGACGACGACTGCGTGACGGACGAGAGCGGCATGTATCAGTCCGCAGTGTCGAACTAGTCATGCTCAGTTGGCTTTTGCGTGCGACGTGTTGCCACAATCTGCGACGGAAGCATTCCGAGTGAATTAAGATTTGGCTAGCTCCGAACATGCGTCTAGGAAGCCAGGACATCAATAATGCATGACCCCGTTCCGCGATCTGTAGCCTGATTGGATTGGTGCATGCGGGAATCATGCATATTATTTCTAGTTCCGAATACGGGCGTCTTGCTTCCTAGCATGTTCAACTGGTTACCTAGGGATGTATAATCATTACTGTAAGGCTGACGGGTTTAAGATCGACCTTTGGAACTTTGAACAGGACGGCGTACTACACAACAACCCTTACTGCTGGAGCCGTTAACGACTGAAGCTTATTATTAAATTGCTCCGTAAGTAATGCGGTTCATGTGTCCATACATATATACGGGCATATTGCATTCTACTTTAGCTACCAATCCGGTTCACTAGTCGTTTAAACTTTACTCGTGGTTGCGATTCCTAGAAGTGACCTGCTGCAGGGATTTAGGGTTCGGGTTTAGGGTTAAAGTTACTTGGGGTTTGGGGTTCAGGGTTCAGGGGCTCTGGGCTGTTCGCGGGGTAGAGGCTGAGGTTTCCGCTTCCTCCTGCTAAGGCCCGTGAATCCTATAGCTTAAAAGTCTTTGGAGTATTTTTTGCTACTTAACCAGATGTTGCAGGTGCACTACGTGCAGCAAGAGCAGTAGCAGCCTCCTTGTGTCAACTAGGCTCGATATGTAGAATTCTCGCGATAGCTAGTAGTAGCAGAAGAAGTTGCGGGGTTTCGGATTTAGGGGTTTGAAAGGGTTTAGGGCTGTAGGGCTTGGTATTTAGGGTTCAGGGTTTTACGGTTTAGGTTTGGGGGGTCGAGGGCTTTAGAGGTTTTGGGGTTAGTGGCAGTGCAAAGCCATGTCCTTGCCTTGCAACCTAAGGTACGGGAAGTCACGATTTTCCAGCCAAGTGGCTCCGGAACGACGGCTCCTGCTGCAACTGCTTGGCCTGATGCTGGCGCTTCGGAAGAGACAGACAGGCGGAAAGACACCAGCACTGCGGGAATGGGCGACCGATAAGCTGCAGATGCTGAAGTTTTCTGTGGTTGCAGCCGCGGCTGCTGTGTGCGACGGAGAAGAACTGGTTCTGGAATTCACTCGCAGCGTGGAGGCAGAGAACACAGACCCTTGCACCTTGGCGTCTCTCGTGGATGAATTCTTGAAGACGATGGAAACCCTTTTTGTGGAGGGGAATATCTGGCGGGCCGATAACAAGCACACCTGGACACAAGTGGTGATCGACCAGATGAAGGAGGCCAAGAAGGATTTTCTCCCGAAGGGACTGCAAGAGGAGCTTCGGGAGTGCCATGCACGAGTTGCCGCGTGGGCACCTAGGCTATCCAAGCATTATAATGTTTCTGCCTGGCTGGGGCTTGAAGTGTGTTTCGCTTGCTAGGGTAAATTAAAGTATTAAGAAATAATTAATTAATGGGAATGACCCCGTGAGGCTAAAACCATCCGCGACGGCATCCAGAGTGAGTTTCCGTCGCAGGAGATAATGTTGCAGATGGAAGGATTGAGTTTGGCGCAGTGGAATGCCTTAAATGGTTTCGGGAAGACGTGTGCTGACAAAGCCGCCAAGACGGATAGGACTGTGGACTTGGAAAGGAGATTTCGCAAGGTGGCCAAGGTTGTACACGTGTCCGAAGACGAAGCCTTCAAGCAATTCCTGGAGCTGAAGGCCAGGCTAGAGCCTAAACGCTTAAGCCCTACACCCCTAAATCCGAAACGACTAATTATTTAAAGCCAGACAAGTGCGACCAGCCTGTGCCAGGATTGCCTTCTGTACACATGGCGGAAGCTTGGGGACAACATCGCTGCCTGGCGGTCTGTTCTGGAACGATGTCGTGTAGCCCGACGGAAGCGTCCAGTAGATGCCTTGCTCCTTAGTTGGACGGATTAGTACGATTTGTCAGGTCCGCTGGACAGGTAAGTGCTAATTTTCTGGCGCAGTCAGAGTCATTGATGTCTTTTTCGGCTTCTGAGGCTCCCTATGCTCCGGTTTTACGCCGCGGCAGTGAATTCTACACAAGGTGTGGAGTCGCAGTTCAGTGAGCTGGAACGTCAAGATGCCAAACGTGTGGCTCAGCAATCTATTTGGCGGCTGCGAAGCTTGGCCTCGACAACCCTAAACTATAGCC